GGGGGGCAAATCTCTCGCGCGGCCTCTTCGCTTCACACCGATGGACCACCTCTCCCATGCATGCTACATGCCCACATCCCACCGCCTCTGATTCAATCGGCAAAGCTTCTCCACCACACATTCTGCTTTATAAAGGCGCAATTTGATAAAAGTTTCGTAACTTCAATGCGTGCTGCATGTCCGCCAAATCCATTTCTCCCTCGCGGCATCATTTCAGCAAAGCTGCGTGAAACCACGAAGCTCCCAGTAGCGTAATTGTCACGGTTTTCTGTCACTCAGTGGTCATTCTAGAGCGACGAGTGTCCTCAGCATTTCGCCACTAAACGCACTCATCTCCCGGAGCGGAAAACGACGTTTCATAAATGTCAACGTCAGCCCCTTTTTGGAAAAATAAAATAAAATAAAATACAAATAAATGAGGGTTCTGGAGTCAATGGCAGAATGGATTTCAAAAGTTCAAACGCCATCCACTCGTTCTTATCCGTGCCGACTCCAGTCCTAGACGATGGAGGGCGAAATTATGGAACGACGTTTCATCAACTGCAGCGGCCATTCATTAAGCGCTAAATTACGAGTGGAAGATTACACGCAGTGAAGTGGAAGGGGATAGGAAGGAAGCGGCTGTGGCCCAAACATCGCTGCATTCTCTGAGGTGCATGGGGAAGACCACGAGAGAAGGTGGCTCGGCCGATATTCAAAACCCGAGCCCCCTAACCGCAAGTCGACGGCACCGTCGCTTGGTCTAACATGAACAAAATCGAACAGATCTGTCAGAAGCGCCGATACAAGTTTGGAACAAATTTTCTCCACCATCGCCGCGGAATTCCGCGCGACAAGCGACAAGGGACAAGAACGCAGCAGCGGCGACAGGAAAACGGCGAGTGCTTTCTGTATTCGACATGTAACGACGGGGGTCGGCAGAACCCTCTTGCCCCCCGCCGACGCGTTCCTCGGCGTGGTGCTCTTAACGGGCCAGAGCGGCGTTGCGCCTGGCAAGCGACACCACTGCATTGCTACTGTAACCATGGCAACCAACGCTCCCGTTCCGATGCCGATATTTAAATTCCGCTGACGGGAGAATGTTGCGATAGTATAACGAAGGAGGCCACGTCCATTCCATCTGATGAGGAGCTCCACAATTTGTAATTACTGCCAAATATTATTAGGATTATAAAATCAAGACGAATGAGATGGACGGGGCATGTAGCGCGCACGGGGACATGAGAAATGCATACAGATTCTTGGGTGGAAAGCTTAAAGGGAAGAGACCACGCGGAAGAACTAGGCGCAGACGGGAGATAATACTAAAACGGATCTTATGGAGACAGGGTGAAAGGGTGCACATTGGATTCATCTGGCTCAGGATAAGAGCCAATGGCAGACTATTGAAAACGCGGCAATAAATAAATTAAAGCCAGATAATTTCCGAATTAGCTGCGGGACTATCCGCTTCTCAAGATGGAGTCCGTCTAGCAAGTTGGAATGCGCAAGAAACATTGTTTCGCTGTGCATGTAAAGCAGTTCAGATAAAAAGCGATAGATGGCACGTGTTCTGTAGCCACATGACACTGGATGGCCCGGGGCTTCCCCTCACTGTATTTATGTAATGTGTGCTTTGCACAGCGTCCAGTCGCCGCGCCGGCTATCAACCGACGCACACCCCAAATTGTCACCAATGTCATTCGGAAATCGATACCTCACGGTGGTTCACGACACCCCCCAGAACCCCTTTATTACACCTCTCCCGCGAAGTGCAATTTAAAGAGAGGGTGTTTCCTGGTCACACCTCTTCTCACACTACCCGTTTCCTTGCTCTTTTGCAAGATGCTTGAAAATAAAATCCCTCATGACTGCAAGTAACAGAAACATCACTACCCTCACAGAATACTTGATTCTAAGTTTAAGGAGAAGAAAAGAAAAGAAAAATCTTACGTGTCTTTGGGGTTCGCCGCAGTTAGCAGGGCTTTCTTCAGAGGGCTGACATCTTCGAGGGCCACTGCGTGAGTCTGTGATAGCACAAGAATATCGCCCCGCGTGTAGAGATGAGGAAATTAAAATGTACGACGTTAAAAAAGGGGCACAGCTGCTGGAGAAAAGACAGCCATTGGCGTGGCAGCTGGAACTGCACAGCGCAACCTGTGGCCAATTGATGAGCTACACTGATTCATAACCAGGGGGCCGAGGTCACAAGTAGCACGCCAAAAACCCAGCGAGAAACAACATCGTGGGGCGGAAACTCTACTCGTTGCTCAGCCAGTCCCAGAGATTACGTGTCTACCATGGAGCCCAAAGGTTTGTTACCGCGATGACAGGATTCCACCACTCGTCCCTGTGTTGATCCAGATAAAAGCAGTCCACAACCTCACATCCTGTTTCCCTAATACAGATCTCCCAAGTGGTCTCTTTACGAAAGGTTGTGTGACCAAGCTTTTGCGACGCTTAACAACCTCTGACGTCAAGAACTGAACGCTTACACCACACGAAAGGTAACGTGCAGTACTCCATGCGCTCAACTGAGTACAACAGCAACTCAGTGGAGCAGAGTCCTCAGCCGCTGACAGTCGCTCAGCTGAGCAATAAACTCCCCGCTTGATCGTGTTCACAAGAGACCGCTACGGTAAGCTGATTAATTCAGTTCCTACCCTCACAACCCACCACCTTTCGATTAATTTTAATATTATCCTCCCTCAAACTTCAAAGCGCGGCCGAGGCGTCACGCTGACCACTAATCCCCATCTACGTTAAGAATGAGTTGGAGCTATACCGGCTCTCCCCCAAGCGCCTACATGGCGTGCAGTGGGACACCTCTATTTTTTTCCTACTTTTAACTCAGACTTCACACTTCTCCGAAAGCGACAACTAAGTAACCGAAGACGAGCATGAGTTATGTTAAGTGCACTGTAACGTGATCTGCTTGCACAGGGGGTGAATCACCCCTCACTGAACACAACCCTCACTGTGTACAGTACATTTATTTCCGGTGAGGGCAACACCGGCTGTGTAACGTTTCAGATCAATGTTGTACTCCACGCAACACAGCGTTCTCGTGGTTTTATTCGGTTCCTGTGAACCAGAATCGGAAGACTACGCCGCACACTCAACACGCCCACACGACAGAACGTCGCGGGCGAGTGGTTAGCACTCCCGTTTCGCGTTCGGGGGGGGGGGTGTTCAGGGCTCAAATCACGACCCGGAGACCGGCTGTCGCAACTCTGAAACCTTTCGTGCTTTTTCCCGGTCACTTACTTCCATGTAATGTCCAGCGCACCAGACATCATCTCGTGAAATGGCAAGCAATGATAAGTGGAGTGAGTACTTCCAACAGCGGTAATACCAAAATACGCCATTGAACACGATCTTGGGCCAATAACATCCATGCACGGTGCCCCAGAGCCACCTTAACCCTATCCTGTCGCGTGTCTTCCTGTACCATCAACACTCACCTATCATGAGGAGGGAGACTGTCAGATGTTCGCGCCCGCTTGCCTTCATGGCCCCTAGAACGGTGCCAACCACAGCACAGATGATCCCGACGACTGCAATGAGGATGATGAACCAGCGGATGGAGATCGTCCGCGTCACCACCACGCCACAGCAGGACTTGGGCTCCTCCTCGGGTGTGTAGTGTTGCCCGCGCGGTGATCTGGCGACAGAGAAGAGAGCGTCAGTGCTTCGACAGCTCGTCTAGACAGTATTTAAGAACTCAGTCCGTACCGCGAAGAAAACACAACACCTCACCATTGCAAGGATCGAGTGGCTAACGCAGTTTAAGGATGCAATCTCTGTTTACGCTGAGAAACATACGAAGCACGTAAACACAGAACGTAGAGCTGCTGGCTGCTGTTAAAGTTACGACAGCCACGGGTTAAATACTGCGTAAAATTATCTGATACAAGCAAAAGTGTAATACAGGCTTCGATGCCGTTAAACATCGAAACGTGTAACAATTTGGGAGTTAACTGGACGCACAGGAGCCTCGTCAATTATTTGCACTGCGCGGCGGAGGGGCACGGACCCATTAACATCTCGGGCTCGTTTGTTCGTCGGACGAATGAGAACATAAAAATTACAGGGGGCAAGGGGAGTTGAATTAAACACCGGGTGCAGGTAAGGTCGTGATTAGCATGTTTCGGCATTTAAAATGCCATCTGTTGGACCCGATTTACATGAGACAGAATTTTAAAACAGCTACCTATCGCCGAGCGTCGGGACGTCTGCGAGGCGGCGCAATCTGAGCGAGCTGTGTTGACACGGGAACAAGCTAGGAACTGTGTGCATTCCTTGCACAAGGGCAGTTCCCAATCTCGTAACATCCGTCCACACCGGGCGCTCTCAATAGTACAATCTGGACACAGAGATTGCGTGGAACCTTGCCTCCGTGCTAACCCGCACCCTTCATGGCATGACTTCGTTACGAATCAGTGCAGGTAAAGTCGTCGTGCAAGCTCCTGCAGCTGGCAAAGGCGAACACGTTGAAAGGTTCACGAGCTCCACTGGAGTGCGCGTGTACTTGTGCTGCTGTGACGATCAGCTGGAGTTAAAAAAAAAAACACTTGTTCCTGTCTTCGCCATTTTTGTGTGTGTGTGTGAGGTAAACCAAGGTTAAAGATAAATCGCACTTCCTGCCCGTATGGAAACTGAAAGGACGGAAACGATTGTTCTTTTTTTCTTTTCTCCGGAAGTTGCGTGTACTCGAACAGCTGGCCGTCACGTCATTCGGCTTCCAACCACCTTGGAAATTGTCGCAGTGAATTTTGTGACGCGACGTCTATAAGGAGCACAGAGGAGTCTGTCCTTATGCTGTGCAACTTTTCGTTTAATTCCGGTAACATTTAACCCTTCAATCTGTGTTCATCCCTTGAGATGAAAGACCAAATTTCTTACCCACACAAAACTTTACGCAGAATTTTAATTCTTCGCCGCGTTTTCTGCGTTGTGCCGTGTAGTCTCCTGGTAGTTATCCAACGTTTCGCAAGAACATGCTGTCGCCATCTTCAGGGTCAAATATGGAGGCAGCGCCATCCTCTGAAACTTCAGCAGGGTTTTCAGCCAGAAGATTGCGTGGAAGGAGTAGAACACCGAGACCACAATCTAAAGTGTGCTTTAATGTGCTTTGATCTTCGGGTCCTCTCGCACGAGACAAAAAGACAGACGCTCCCGTAGCTGTGAGAGGTCGTTCTGCATGGAATCACCTCGTTTTACTTCAAAGCGCAGAAAGGTTTTGTTTTCGACTACAATTTCAGCGCACAAACTCTTTAGCCCAGAAAATTCTTTCCTTAATCATTTTCGCGATGAAACGAACGCCAGCCTTTGTAGCGTCCACCGCACCACCGGTCCTTGGTCGTCACTTCACTGCCAACACCGTCCATTCAACTTCGTCCCGTCGCTCCCAATGAAAAGGAAAACTTCTACGGCGCTCCTTTTGAAATAAGTGTTTTCGAATTTAAAATGCGACAGACGACTTCAAGCTGTTATAAAGTTACGTTCGGTTGAATGGATTGGCAAGCAAGCAGGGGGTCGCAAGCCACAACGTTGATATTTAAAGCCGCGTTTTAACAACTGACAGCATGAAGCAGAGTAATTCGTGGGAAGCTGTGTGTCGCTCAGCTGGTCAACAATTCCCCGCGTTCATAACTACCTTCACAAGGCCAGTAAACGCTATCCTGAGTCCGACGAATCCACTCCAAACCTTGAAATAATATTTTTTTTTTAAAAAAAGATTAATGTCAAAACAACCATCCATCTACGCTTATGTCTTCCAATATGTTTCTTCCCCTCATAAAACATCTGTATCCATTTCTCTTCTCGCACATCCCACATCATCCGCCGTGAGTTCATCGTGCTAAAATATTTGGCGCAAAGCCACGTGGTCGGGGAACTTCGTAACTTCCCGGAGCTTTGTAATGCAAGAACCATCCACATTTATGGGACTTAGCAAAGTGGCTAAAACATTAATCTGCAGCCGGGATTCGAACCGCAGGACCTGCCCGAACACACTTCGTCATCAGATATCTTCGGCAAACCTGCCCGAACACACAAGCGTTCGGTGTGGTCTCGCAGAGGAATTTAATTAAATTAAAAACTTGTTATTAATGTAAAGAGCTCGGAGCCTGGCCGGCACAGGCAGGACTAGAGCGTCCAGAACTGAGCACCAATCACAGCCCAGATTTTGAAACGACCAGCATAATTAATATTAGAATGGAAACGTGTGTACGTAACAATGGCGGTGCTGGTTTGCTGCTCGCAAACAAAAGGGACCGGGGGTCACGGTCGAAACAGATGAGCATCGGTCCAGTTGCCACAGCAACTCGTCCGCATTCTAACAACAATCGGTTGTCACTTGTTATTTCCGGCCTGATGACAAAGTGCAACGCCTCGTCCCTTCGTCCAACTACATAAAGACGCTGATAGTCGCTCAGCTGATCAAGAACATCGCCGTCTTGTACAGAACATCGAGATTCAAAACCACGTTTACAAGAGCCCGCCAGTGGACCAGATCCTAAGCCAACTGAGTCCAATTCGCATCCATACGCTCTGTTTATACAGCGGAGGTTCGCAGACCACGTGTTGCGAGGGAATCCCATTCCGTGCAGTCCGTTCCGTTGCTTAGCAACTGGGACAACAGATCCTGTAGCGGCTGGCACCTGAAAAATTGTGTCCTATTGTTTGTAAATACGGAAAGTGGAATGTCTGCCTTCACACGCCCTGACGATATTCCACAAAATGCAGTCTTTAGGCCTGTCACATGGCCGTATAAAGGTATATTACGCCTGATGGCAAGAGCGAGCAGGCCGTGAGGAATAGCGGGGCGTGCACCTCTCGTCACTAGACTGCAATGCAAAGACCGGCAGCAAATCCACTGAAAACGTGGCGAGGGCCACTGCATTAACCAAGACTCCACCCCACGCTCGTAACAGGAATGGGTTACATGCACACAAGATTTTAGTACAGAGACCACTGGCGAGACACGCGCGCAGAAGGAAATATAATATTAAAATGAAGCTTAAAGAAATAAACAGGGCGTGAGACCGCGCAACCAATCCAAGCAGCCGAGTAGAGGGCACAAATACGACCTCGTGAAATACGACGATAAGGTCTCGAGTTTCGTATCAGACGAGGAACATCTTGACCATCTGAGCGACTGTCTTCCACTGGAGCTTCTTGTAACTCGTCTCATTGCTAACTTACACACCTTCGACAGTGCCCATTAATATTTATGTCCACTTTTGTACGTCACCAGAGCAACCGCCTTATCGCTGCGCCATAACAAAAAACAAAGAACGATCGCCTAATTCGGTATTCGGTGCAGCGAGGCTGAAAACCGTTTCCACAACAAGAAGGGACCGTTGAGAAAGAGAAATTCGTCGTCATGTCTGGGGAACGCTGCTGCCCCAGTTCCCACGCGTCGCGGCACCTCGACGTCACGCGTACCTCAATACGTACATAGTCGATCTGTTCTACAGCGAAGTCGCACGCTTTGCCGTTGTTTGCTTGAACGCAAAACGCGAAGTTCGTTTGTCAAGGAACTGGTTAATGCGTCATTTGGTTAAAATCGATCGCAAGAGATATGACATAATCGTGCAGACAGGATGCCCTCCGAACGCCTGCCGTGGCAACCTACTGGAAGACGGGACTCTGGGCGTCCAAGAAGGAGACGGAGACAACCATTCCTCTAGTCTCGGAACGGGTCAACGGACTCAAATCGCCATACAAACGCCTTGTGCTCTGGCAATCTGCACATCATCAATTATTACCGTTTCAGGATTTGTGATTCTTAGGGCGAGGAAGATGTCGGTCTTCGGGGTTGAAACTTAATGCCTCCATCTTCAGAGCTGAATACAGAACGTTGGCATTAAAAAAATATGTTACGTTAATCTGATTGGTTTCTACAGGCCCGTGAGTTAATGAGCATCGTCATAGTGAAAGTAGTCTGGACAACCCTGGAGTAGTGTAGTAGGTTGGCGCCAGATGGAGGTGGTGATGACCTGCATGGAGGTACATCCGCCTCTCCGGGTAGTCTACATCCCAGTGAAAGCCCCCATTAATTACGTCATGTACGGCCTTCATCACTGACCCTTGGGTCATGGCATAACAACTGTGACACAGACACATTTGGTCAGCGGATGTTCTTACGCGCGGCCAGGAGTATTAAGGTGTAACATTCCGGCCGTTCTTTGCGGAACGCAGTGAATATAATGAAAGCAAGAAGGAAAAGTATAAAAATAATGTTCTGGCCACACGCGATCTTTTCCGATCGACAGACCATAAAACAATGGAGTCGACTTAATTAAAGTAGTTATCTGAAGCCAGCATCTGCTTCGCTTTCAGTTATACGAGCGAAGAAAGGTAAAATCTGCACCTTGAAGAAGGTCGTATTATGACATTCCGAACCACTTCTGATATTTTCTCCGAAAGTCTGTCGCACGCACCCCACAAATAAAGAAGTTTCAAAAACACAACTCCATGGAGCAGAGTCCTGTTCATAACGCGATAGTCGCTCAGCTGGTCAGAAATTCCAGCGCCTTTCATAAGATTCGAAGGTTCGCTACCGTGTTCACAAACGTCCGCCAGTAGACCGTGCCCTGAGCCAGTTGAATCCACTACAAAACACTACGTTAACATAAAACAAAAAGTTGCTTTTTG